CGGCGCGGGGGGCGGGCGGGCCGGGCTGCGGGCCAGGCCGCCCCGAGAGATTCGCATCTTTCCGCAGGGAATCCGCTCCGCGAGAGAAGGCTCGGCTGCCCTGGCCCAACAGGGCTGCCCTGGCCCAGCAGCTCCCCTTCTTCCTCTTTTTCTTTTTCTTTTTTTTTTTTTTTTTTTCCTTTTGTAAATTTTCCACTGACCGCCACAAGTCCAGCTGAGGCGAGACACAGAAGTGCATCACTTCTGAAATGCAGCCTCCTGTCTCTCCTTTCCCCCCCAGATCCAGCAATAAGCCAACATGAACGAGGTGGTGGAGACCCTGAGGAAGATCGAGGAGAAGTACAAGCTCTTCCAGCAGCAGCAGTTCACGTTTATCAGAGCCCTGGAGCGCACCCGGGAGGAAGCCCACGATTTGATCAGACCTGTGTCATCCATTGTCCAGGTACAAATCCCTCAGCACAAAGAGCTCCCTGCTGTGGCAGCAGCGACAGCACGGGGCTGGAGGGCAGCTCCAGGGGCCAGTGCAGGGTTTTCCTCTTTTTTTTTTTTTTTTTTTTTTTTTTTTTTTTTTTGTAAATTTTCCACTGACCTCCACAAGTCCAGCTGAGGCGAGACACAGAAGTGCATCATTTCTGAAATGCAGCCTCCTGTCTCTCCTTTCCCCCCCAGATCCAGCAATAAGCCAACATGAACGAGGTGGTGGAGACCCTGAGGAAGATCGAGGAGAAGTACAAGCTCTTCCAGCAGCAGCAGTTCACGTTTATCAGAGCCCTGGAGCGCACCCGGGAGGAAGCCCACGATTTGATCAGACCTGTGTCATCCATTGTCCAGGTACAAATCCCTCAGCACAAAGAGCTCCCTGCTGTGGCAGCAGCGACAGCACGGGGCTGGAGGGCAGCTCCAGGGGCCAGTGCAGGGCTGCAGAAATGTTTGTGCTGAAGGGAAGGTGGAGGAAAAGTGCCCAGGAACGTTTGTGTGTGACTGAAGGTGTGGGGAGAGATGTCCTGTGCGGGGCCTCCCGGGATCTCAGGAGCAATCTCCAGGCTCAGCAGCACTTTGTGCTTTAGCTGAACGCTGCTGAGGCCCAGGCACAAACACAGGCTACAGGAAAACAATGAAAGCAAGCCTCCTTCCCCAGGCACACTTGCAGTCTGCAATCCCCAGCCTGCAGGAAGCAGCGTGCCTGGCTCTTGCCCCTGCTATTGGTGCTGCTGTATCTTTCTAGAGTGCTTGTTAAAAATAATGGCTGTGTTACACAGGGAGCAGGATGGATTGAGGGCTGACAGCCCCACGTGGGCAAGGGGTTTGCTGGGCTTGCCTGGGAATTTTTATAGCAGGCTCTGCTGAAAAGTAGAACGGAGAGCACCTGGAGACAGAGGGGGAAAAAGAATCTAAATCAAATCAGAACTGTGGATTTGAGACGGCAGAGCTGGGGCCCAAAACCCAGATGGATGGCAAAGGCAGAGTGAAAGCCAGGCTGCTGTCAGGATCAGGACACACCATGAGCTGCTTGTCCTTTCCAAGGGCTGCCTCTCCCACACAGAAGGGCTTTGCTCATTGCTTGAAGAGGATGGTGGCACACATTGCACTGAGCCATTTCAGCCCTTTGGGATGTTGCCATTCCCTGTTTGCAGAAGCACTGGCATTTCCCCCTGTGCAGGTGCAGTGCTACAAGGACCACCACTGCTACAACGCCACCGACAGGCGCATCCTCAACATGTTCGTGTCCATCTGCAACGAGCTGCGCTGCCTCTGCCGGAGGATGGAGACGGTGCACGCTGGGGACAGCGTCACCAAGGGCCTTTTGGAGAAGTGCAAAGTGCTCCTGAACGACAGCAACGACCTCACGGCCCTTCGAGCCACGTAGGTGCCTCCCCGGCTCGGCTCGGCTCCTGGCATTTGGCTGTCGCTGCAGGGGCTGGCACTGCACATTCCCCCCTGGCTCTGCAGCAGTTGTGTCTCAGCCCCTGCCTGGCTCTAGTGAGGGCACAGGGTGCTGCCCAGCTTGCTGTGCCGGCTCTTGGCAAACACTGCCAGTGTCCCTGCACAAAGAGAGAGCTGCTGTGTTTGTCCAGCCTCGCTGCGGTGCAGGGCAGGGCAGGGGGTGCCCTGAGGCCCCTGCAGTGCTCAGGCAGGTTAGCTGCTCCTTCCTGCTGCTGCTCCTGTGCACGGAGCTGATTTCTGCAGGGCAGTGTCTGTGTGTCCTCTGCAAGAGTCCAGACCTGTGCCAGGGTGGTTTTTGGCAGGACTCATCAATCCATGGACAATTCCATCCGTACTTCTCCATTTTTGGGTTGCAGAGCTGGGACTCCTGTGCCAATTGTTCCCCTCTGTCCCACAGCTACCCCCACCGTGTTGTGAACCTCCTGAGCCTGGAAGAAGCGAGGCACCGCTACGGAGGGGTGGTGAGCGTGCTGCCCATCGTGATAGACAGCATGAGGGAATGGGTCACCCACTCCAAGAGGAAGCTGCTCTGTGTTGTGAGTCCTGCATGTGCCGTGTGCAAGAAGGAGACACCTACTTCCCAAACAGCAGCTGCAGTTCAGACCTCCAACAGTAATGAAAAAACTGTACAATTGCAGGAAAAAGATTTCCAGAAATTCCTGGCGGCAAATCAACCTCCGCCAAAAAAGGCACCCTGGAGGCCACCAGGCAAACACCCCTATTAAAGGATCAGAGCTCCTGCATCGTCTGCTCACCACCTTTATCACCTGGCTGACCAAATAGAGTGCAATGAACACTAGAGATCCATCCTGAGCCCACTTTCTGCAGCCAGCCCGGGACGCGTGCATTCCCTCTCCCTTGCTGATATTCCCACTCTGCTCCTCAATCCCCACAGAAGCAGCTGCAGCTGCTCCCTGGGCCGGCAGTGCAGTGGGAGCAGGGATCACTCAGGACTCATCAGGTTCTAAACTCTCAGACATGAATCTTTGACAAGTCATTTGAAACAGGATTTTACATTTTCTCAGCCTTCCTCCTGAGGAAGATCCCCTCCCTGCCACAGCCAGGGGCTGAAGAAGCTGCCTGTCTCAAGGATGGGATACAGAGCAGCAAAGGGCTGGCATCATGGATTCAGCCACATCTTTGACATTTAGATTTGTCTCTAAATTTCCCTTGCCCTCACAGAAATCGTTTGTTTAGCTGGACCACAGAATGCCTGTTTACAGGACACTAAGGGGGTTTCCCATACCTGGCACTGGCTGCAGAGGCCAGTCTTCATCAGCTGTGCTCTGCTGCAGCCTCCTGCAGCTCCTCCCTCCACAGAACAGCTCCCCTTACACCTGTTGACTCCTGTGCTGTCAGAGCTGGAGATGTAAAGGAGGGCAGAGTTCATTTTGCCCTTAATTTGTGTGTACTGACAACAGCCAAACAAAACGCCCCCATGCTCCTCAGACTTTCACAAAACAAAAGCCGTTTCCAGTCCATGTGATCCATGGGAATGTGGTGGGAGCATCACGCTCAGATGGTTCCTGTTCAAATTGCAGACTGAACTGCCTGTGCCTTCCCTGCTTCAAGGCAAGGTTAGCACTACATTAGGCCAGATGTCACACCCAATGGGCAAGCCCATGATGGCCCTGGGGCTCAAAATATGCAGCATGAGGTCAGCACGTCTCTACAGCCCTTCCTAAATAAGTGTCCTCCCCATGTCTGACTTCTCTTGTCCCCTCCAAATGACCTCCTGCTGGAAGACACTCCTGAACAAACAATTTCCCCTTGCATACCAGGCTCAGTTTGCTGTGAGAAAGCTTTTGCCTTAAAATCACCAGGTTTTGGCAACAAGCAGCTAAAAAACAGAAGGAAGAATTAATACAGAGGAGGGGGAACAGGAAGGAAAGGCAGCTCAGATAAAATGGAAAATATTTCTAGGAGCATTTTTGTTCCTCACATAACCCTACATTGTTTAGCACTTTTTTCCTTTCCCCTATCCACTTGCACTGCAATGCACCCAACCCAGTCTGCAGTAAAGCCCTATTTTTAGGGAGATTTGATCCAACTGAACTGAACCTTGCTGAACTCAAAATGGTAACAGAGGGTCACAGAGCAGCTCCTGGGCACCACTGGGGCCACAGCCAGTGGAATGTCACTGTCACCCTCTCTGGCTTCACTTGAGATCCCCAGTGCAGAGGCAGCTTCAGGCTGAAAAATCCAAGTTGTGGCAGCTGCCCTGTTGTGTTCCATGGTGCAGACAAGTGTCCAGTGACAGTTGCTGTCTTGGAAAGGTTTTCAGGACAAGCTGCTAAGACTGAATGATGACAAGTGCTGGGGACACAAGAGATGCTATTCCCTGATCTTGTTTCCAGCTTTCTTGGCCCTGTCCTCTGGTTTAAATTTGAACACACAGGCTGTGTGTGAGGAGACCAAAGTTATCCTCCAGTTTGTAGCTCACTTTCAGCTTCCAGGGATGAGCACAGCACAAATGGTTTGTCAGAACAGTCCTACCAAAGCCAGTCCACCACTGCTGCTCAAAACTCCAGTGCAGTTGACATTTTGCACTTGACCAAGGTAATACACACAAAAAAGTTCCCAAATTTTAATAATAAGAGTCATACATGCAAGAAACAGTTCCCAAATCTTAGTAATCATTTCTAGCCTGGCCCTATCCTTTCAGTCAGTGTCATGCAGCCAAAATTTTAAGACCCAAGCAGAAAAATGAGTGCATAAAACTTGCAGTCTGAGGTTTGATAATGACAAGACCAGAATCTGTTGGAAGACTGCAAAGTTAAGTCTCACAAAAACATCCAGACAAATTACTTAATTTCCATACAAGTTCTCCTCTTCCAGAGTGGATGGACACTTCAAAAGACAAAAAGATACAGCAAGAATTGTTTTCCTCTACTACAAATCAAGCTGTTTGAAGAATTTACATAAACAGGATGTAAATGCCACACACAAAAGTGCAATAAAGTTTTACTTTAGCCTCAGTGAGCATAAAATTGCAAGATACACACTGAGAAACCAGGCAGGGCACCAGCCTGACTTTCCTACAGATCTGTCACTTAGTCCAGAAAGTAAATGCTGCTTTTTTGTTCAAAGGCTGAAATAGACACATGGGCTGGTAATAGATGATATCAACAGAATCCTGGCATCTGTATGAATTATCTCTGTGCTCCCTTTGATTCAGCTAAGGGTCAAATCAGGCTTTTGCCACAATGAGGAACCTGATGTAGTTGAAGGTGTCCGCACTCAGTGCAGGGGTTGGACTGGATGAGCTTTAGAGGTCCCTTCCAACCCAAACCGTTCCGTGAGAATCCGTTCTGTATGTTCAATATGCGGCTCCAGCCTCTCACACACCGAAAGGACAGGCCAGAGCTCAGACCCCGAGAAGTTAGGGTGGGCTGTCAGGAGCCCACTGCACATCTGCAGGGGAGCAGAAGGGTCGGTTCCAGGGAGAGCGAACTCAGCATCCCAGAGATGCCGGGCAGGCGATGGAGCGCAGGGATGGGCTTGGCAGGGCCTCTAGCGGCCGCCTCAGAGCGGCGTCCAAACCTCTCACCGGCAACTTCTACACAGCTCCAACAACCCTGCTGTCCCCAATCCTGAATCCACAGGGCTTTTTAAACACTGGTCACAGGTATCCAACCCCGGGACACAGCCCAGGGCAGCTGTGGGGCCGCCTGCTCCCACTCCCATCCCCAGAGCTGTAATTTCAGAAGAGCCAGCGGCTGTTCCCTGTCACCACCAACCTGTTCCCCACATCATAAACACCCCGAGGCAGGAGAGGTTTTCCTGGGAGTCCTCAATTCCCCTGGTGGTGGTGCAGCACCAGTTTGAGCTTTCAGTCAGCTGAGCATCGAGCACAAGGAGCAGAGGCAGCTTTGCAGAAACCAGGAATAGCGTCTGGCAGACAGGAGAGATCAGCCAGCCCAAAACCGGAGTGAAAAGACCTTCAGGGAAAAAAAAGTTCAGCCAAGTAAAGCCCACAGACACCAAAATTGTGATGACCATAAGTCAAGTATTTGAACAGTCTTGTCTGGAAAGCAAAGCCCATGGGAATGCAAAGCAGGCTTCCTTTGCAGAGCTCCCGAGTGTGAACGGATAAAGCAACTCAACTGCTGTGATTTCCTATTTTGTAACCACTTTTAAAATCCACCATTGTGCCAGCAGATAAGCAGTTCCAACAAATCAGGATCAATCAGCACAGATATTTTAATTTCCTGAATTTGAAGTATTTCCTTCCCTAATGTCTCCTGTGTGATTATCAGCTGTTATAAACTGCCAAATGTACTGCTTGACATTAGTGAGTAAGGAAGGCACTTAATTTTTCTTTTTGTACCCCAGCAATACACTTCTGTGGGTAATTTTTATCTAATGATTTTTTTTATACTGGCAAGGGATTAAAGGGATGCCTTATTTTGAACCCATTATGTTTAAGGGCAAGCTAAATTCACTTTGTGCTTTGTTTTCATTTTTCTACTCCCATGCTTTAGAACTAATCCCAATGCAGGGGTCCAAACAACTTCTTGTGTCACTGAACTCCTATGAAGTTTATGGTGTTTTCTATATAAAATTCTCCACAGACATTACAAAACATGCCAAAGCATGTTCACAATGTGCCACTTGCACAACTTAGACCCTTGCCTGTGTTGCCCATATTTAAGAATTATACTTAGTCCTTAATTGGAATGCTGAGGCTTGTGTATGGATTACTAAACTGCTTTGAGCAATCTTTCAAATATTCCTTTATTTCAAGAAGAGAAGAAAAAAGAAAAACCAACCAAACAAATAAAAACCAATTAAAGACCAGAACCAGTGAGAAAGTGCCAGTCTGGGAAAAAAGCAAAAGAAGAGAACAACCTTACCTCACCAGGTTAAGCTTGGAAAAAGTGGCCCCAAAATTCCTCATGGTCTGAGGAAATGTCCTCGTGCATGCACTGTATGGAAGTTTGGAAAAGCACAGACAGAGCCAACTCCTGACAGCAGCCCCAGCTTTGCAAACAAGGCTCTGACATTTCCAGCTATTAATTTCTCTAATCACTGTGCAGTCCTGGCCTGCAGGAGCAAGGCCATGCAGAAGCTCACCAGCAGATCTGCAGCACTGAACTGTTTGCAGTTCATTTATGGATTATACTGGCACATTTTTGTGAGTTTGTTTGGCACAGAAGGAAAAAAAAAAAGACTTTGGCTCCATGCAGAAAAATGAACTTCTAATGGTGAATCCTGTGCAAAGGGGCAGCAGCACTGACCTGCTCTGGACTGTTCCATCTGGGAAAATGTTTGGACACTGAGCTCCCCTTCCATGTGTTTAGTTCCAAGAAGGTCTGGCAGGGAATTTAACACAGAGTAGTGCAAAACAATACATTTTATTTGTTCACAGTTAAACACAAGCAACTGCCTTGACATTTTAGAACATTCTAATAAGGACAGCAAAACCTCCTTTTGGTTTAAGTTCTCTTTAGCTTACGATTGTACCATTTCCTCGTATTTCATATTTATGGCATTTAATGTGGATTGTTTAACATGCTTACAAAGAGCGAGGCAGGGAACAGATTAACTTGACAAAGACAGCAATTTTAGATTTAACTAAAAGCAGTCAGTTAAAAAAATCTGTTTCCACTTCACTGATGGGACCCCTTCAAACAAACTGCAAGTTAACTACATACAGCAGATCCATGATTTTTAGACTTAGGAAAGAAAACTGCAAAATTTGTTCCTCCATAATCTTTGTGGTCCATAAACAAACCTAAAGTGGTTTCCATTACTATCCTGGTGCTAAAATCCTGTTTAAAAGAAGAAAAAAAGCCACCTTACCAAAGAGCTTGCCTTGCTGCCAGGGCATTTTTGTGACTGACACAAAACCTGCCTCTCCTGGGAACGCCAGACCCAGGCTGGGCAGAGCAGGATGGGCAGGAGCTCCTCCAACATTCCCAGCTGAGCTGGCCCATCAGGCCCTTTGTGTGCAAACCGTTCACTCCCCAGGCTGGGATCCAGTGGGAGAGGGGCAGGAAAGCTCCAAATCTTAAACACGCGCTACCACGTTTGCTACCACTACGTCTGAGAAAGCCTAAAGACAAAACCAGGCTGCCACTTACAACCAACTCTCTACTCTCTACTCCATGCAGTCAGCTTTGACACAACCACTGAAGTTCACCTCTACTCTCAGAGTTCAGACTGACCAACTGAAAGGACAAGGAGAATAATTTAAGACAGGCAGAAATGTATTCAGACCTTGGAGTTACGGAGGAGGCGGGAATGGGAGCACGAGTCCTGGCAGCAGTGAGCTGAGCAGCTCTCACAGCCTCGTTGCCTCCCGGGCTAAGAAGGGATTTGGACTACAAATGCAAGTGTGCTTGGACTTGATTTCTGTGTGAGGTGGTTCTTAAACAGCAGCTGCCACCCACAGAATGTTTAGGAGAAGAGGCCACGAGTGATGCAGGGGAACTGTGAAGCCTGAACCATCTGAGTACAGCTGGACCCAGCCAGGGGGACATTTAAAACAAGCACTGCCTTCCTAACAGCAGGCCCTGTTCTGTCATGAAGGAGATTGAGTCTGACCACTGACAAGCCCTGATCCCACAATCCTCCTTCACAGAAGGCTCATAATTGACTTAAAACATAATTAACACCAAAAAGCTTCACGCCAGGATTCTGATTTCAGTGTGAGCAGGATTCCTCCTCAGCCTTGTCATCTAAGGAAGTAGGATGAGGGTGAAGGGGAGAGACCTAGAGCCAAATTGACACTGCTGAACTCAAAAATGTGCTGCAATCTGAGTAGGAGGGCACTCAAAGGAAACCATACTCTCCAAGGCAAGCCTGAAAAGGTATTGCCAGGAAGAATGAAGCCAATTTCTTAGACTCAAAACATGGTGGTCTTGTTCAAACAAGGAACAAATGAAGAAGGGTGAGGCAGCACATTTCCCTGATTAGAGAAGCAAATCCCCCTCTGCAGATCTTCATAATCTACCTCCATGTTCTGCATCCTCTCCCTGCTTGAGTAAAGCTTCCTCTTCCCTCTTCTCCCACCCCAACTGCTTTCCCATACAAACCAGTGTGAGGTCAATCAGGCAAACACTTCAAACACCATGAAGATCTGAAGCTGGTGTTTTAACAAGTCTTCAGCATTTATGGTCTCTTCTGCATTACAAGCTCCAGTTCCTTTTTGTCTGTTCAAATGTAACTTCCCAGGAAATGTTAAGGACAATATAAACAATGATCGTGAATTAGGGTGAATGAATCATTTTGCAGAGGTACAATGTTCTTTAAACATTTGGGTATTCAATCAGACTCCAACTTAATGAAGGCTGGGCTCTGAGGGATGTGGGAGAGTGGACAGGCAAAAATAGAGAATGCACTGGAAAATCTTAGTGCTGCTTCTTTCCAGGATGAAAGGAACCAAAGTCACCTGGACAGGCAGCACAACCAACTGCTCTAAATGGGAAGCTTGCAAAGAAATACAAAGCATTCAGAGTAAACTCACAAATGTTAATTTGGCCTCATATTGCACTCAAGTTCATAAACGCAGCCACTCAACTGGGGACAGGGAGAAAGGGAAAAAAATACTTGCAAATGCTAACAGTTGTCCCTTCAAATTAGTACACGCTGCTAAGGATTGAATTTGAGAAAGAAGCAAGAGTTAGGCTGGGCATTTTCAATTCCAGACCCAAAAATCCACTTTGCATTCATTCAGCAGCCTCCTTCCGTTCCTGGCCATCGATCCTGCTCCGCTGCATGAGCCACTGCTCAGACCAAAGAAACATAAAAGCTTTTAGTTAAACTTGCACTCACGCCTCCTGTTCTATGCCAAGAATATGAAAATAACACTGATTGACTATCTTCCTCTTTAACTGTGGTCATGATGAGTTTCATTGTAGTCCATGATATGAAGCTGTCCAACACTGCTTTCCTGGAGCTTAGGCGAGAGGTTCTCGGGGCTTGGAGGGGCCTTTGACTCCATGCTTGGATCTTTACATAGTTCAGTCTTTAGGGCATCAGACAGCCTGTTGATGCTGACCCCCTCCTCATCACACTGGCTTTCACTCTTGTTGCGAAATAACTCTCGTGCCTTCATTCCAAGGAAGCTCTTGGAGCTGGGGAGTGAACCTACAGTCAGTGGGACAGTAGTGGAGGGCTCCAGCAACACAGACGTGTCCCAGCGACTGCTCAGCCTCTGGTTCTGGGGTTTTTCTGGGGTGGAGAGCTCGCTGCTGCTGCCCCCCTTACTGCTACTGCTGCCTCGGGTGCTGGGAGGTTTGGTCTCTCCATTTCTACCAAGTGTTTCTTCACTGTGTCCTGCTGTATCTTCATTACCACAATCCAGCCTGCTTGGGGAAGAGAGAGGACACAGCGTTAAGAAAATTAACAGTAATTAAACAGTGGAGAGGGAAATGCTGGTCGGGGCAGATTACTTTGATTACTGTCCCTTTCTGCCTCTGGGTATGTACTTCAACAGGTTTCCTTTCACACTTCAGGGGTAAAGCAGGAGAGACGGGGGGTAACCAGATGTGTCACACACTCAGCTTTGCACATCCACTGTTTTTAAGTCCAAAACTGACAATAATCCCCCATGGGTCCTGCAGATTTCACACCACCACCCTCACCTTTCTTCTGCTGCTTCAGCTGCTTCTGTTTTATCATCTTCAAGTTTTTTCAGTAGACTGCTCTTCTCCAGCCGCCCAAACAGATCCAAGATCTCCAGCTCAAATGCCTGGGTGATTTTTTTCTGAGCCTTGTACCTGCTTTCTACTGCCTGCAGCTGACCCCTGAGCAAAGAGAGAAACCAGAGTGTCCAAAATCTCCAGATTCTGCCTCAGCTGTGACAGGGCATCTGCCAAAGCACAGCTAAAATGTTACATAAGAAACCCCTACCTTGCTTGGATTTTAACATCTTCCAGGTATTTCTTTTGCTCCAGGAAGAGGTGGTCCTTCTTTGCAAGCTGAGATTCCAGTTCAGCTATCCTTTTCTGGGAAGCATCGAGCCTTTGGCTTTGCTGCTGAACACACAACTTTGCTTTCTCCAGTTCTTTCCGAAAAGCAGCGTGCAACATTTCAACCTCCTCGAAGCAAACAACACAATGGTAAAGTCTAATTTGATCCTCTGTTATTTTTATTGGTGTTTAGACATGTTTCTGATGTTATAAATAGGCACATTTTAAAGCAAGCCAGAATAAAAGCAGCATTTCTAAAAACAGATATAGAAAACCAGCCCTGCTGAGGATGTACACTATTAAAATAATTACACATCACTGGAATTTATTAGCACATTAATGTTCCTTATGAAAACCTCTTTTCATCAAAGCACTCTTGCCAGTTCTGCACTGGATTAGAGTAGACAAACTCTATTTTAAATCCATTTTCCAACACGACCTTCATTAAATACCAGTAGAAGACTCCTTTTCAGTGTATTATTCACCTTCTTTAATTACGTGCTCTCACGCAGGAACACAGTTATATTGTTGTGTAATTCACTTGCTTCTAATTAGAAAAAGGTTTCTTTGAAGTCAGGAAGTAAAACCATATGAACCACAGAAGTCTCAGTGAAGTTACTGTTAACTTTTAATAGGAAAATGACTGAGTGGGAAGGCTGAGATGCTCATTTTGAAGTAACACCTCAAAAAAACCCGTAAAATCCTTGTTAAGATCTTTCCACAAATTCTGGCACTACTACCCTGCATTATTTTACCAACAATCTGCTGTCAGTTACATTTGAGCACACTAAAGTCTTGGCTTTTGGATAAGAAATTGTTAAGAATTTACATCAGTTGGCTAAAACAGACCCCAGGTGTACCCCAACAACCCTTTCTTAACTTTCAGAAGGGGCATTGAAGATATTCCTCAAACCCACAGGGCACAAAACATCTGAAGAGAAGATCAAACATACAATCAAATCCCTGAAAATCAATTTCAGAACAAAGAGTCTGTTCAGTTACAAAGCCTTTCCTTCTGAACTCAGGGCTGGGAACTGCTGGATGATGACCTCAAGGGAAGTCTCCCCAAAAGTCCTCTGCACTGGTACCTTTGTAGTGTCTGTGTGCTTGTGCTGCAGCTGCTCCAGGTACAGCTCATTGACCTCCCCAAGAACCAGCAGCTGCCTGTTCAAGAACTCCATCTGCTGTTGCACTGATTCACTGTTGGAAAGCTGGGAAGGGAAATGGAACAGAATCCAACACTGGGATGAACAGTTCAGCAGAGTCATAGCAGACAGGCACTGTGTTCACAGGGTATTTTTATGAAGAA